AAAAAAAAAAAAAAAAAAGATGGCTTTACTTTTCTAGTTAGGTTCCCCAAAAAGTTAAAAATAGAACTGCCCTATGACCCAACAATTGCACAACTAGGTATTTACCCAAAGGACACAAAAATACTGATTCATGGGGGAAACACCTGCACCCCAATGTTTATAGCACCATTATCAACAATAGCCAAATTATGGAAAGAGCCCAAATGTCCACTGACTGATAAAGAAGATGTGTGTGTGTGTGTGTGTGTGTGTTATGTACATATACACACATGCACACTCTCTCTCACACACAATGGAATATTACTCAGTCATCAAAAAGAATGAAAGCTTGCCACTTGCAATGATGTGGACGGAGTTAGAGTGTACTGTGCTAATAATAAGCAAATGACTCAGAGAAAGACAAGTATGATTTCATTCATATGCAGAATTTAAGAAATAAAACAGATGAACATGGGGGAAGGGGGCAAAGAGGGGAGAGGGGAAGACAAGCCATAAGAAACCCTTAACTACAGATAACTGAGGTTGGATGGGATAAACGGATGATGGGTATTAATGGAGGTCACTTGTAATGAGCACTGGGTATTACATGTAAGTGATGAATCATTAAATTCTACTCCTGAAACCAGTATTATACTATATGTTAACTGAGATTTAATAAAAACTTTGGGAAAAAAAGAATTTGCAGGTAACCTTAACCATTTGAATTCTATACCTATCTGCCACTGATTCCTATGACCTTTAGCAAATTCCTTAATCTCATCCGATACTACTGCCTATTTGAAGAAATGAAGGAAACTATACTGGTCTTACAAAGCAAAGATCTCTTTTATTTTAGAACTCCTGTCCCATTTACTACCATGTTGTATTTAATCAATAATTACTTGCTCTTTTTTTAAAAAAGTAGTCACATTTTTGCTTAATTGCAGAAAATAACCAGTATTACAACAAAGATGACATTTGCTTTTAATTGGAGCCCTGTTTTAATTATCCAATGCTTGGGGCGCCTGGGTGGCGCAGTCGGTTAAGCGTCCGACTTCAGCCAGGTCACGATCTCGCGGTCCGTGAGTTCGAGCCCCGCGTCAGGCTCTGGGCTGATGGCTCAGAGCCTGGAGCCTGTTTCCGATTCTGTGTCTCCCTCTCTCTCTGCCCCTCCCCCGTTCATGCTCTGTCTCTCTCTGTCCCAAAAATAAATAAAAAACGTTGAAAAAAAAATTTTTTTAATTATCCAATGCTTTATTACTGTGGATAAATATACAATTTGTCTCCAAAAACTCCAGGAATATCTACTTTTAATTTTAGAGATTCCAAGGGCTAGGAATCACTATAATAAATGATTTCAAGTTCCTATATGCCTGTATTTCTGGTAAGGGTACCTTCCTAAAAATAACCACTACCATTTAAATTTTAAACTTCTCTAGATTATTAATTCTGCTTGAAAAGAAAATTGGCCAGTATAAAAGAAAATTTTTTAAGAACAAGTTATTTTACAACTACACTGGAATAATTTCTTCGTTAACTCCAATAAAAACTGATACCACACAGATTAGGAGCCCGGAACAGTCTACTACTTATCTAAAAGCTACTTACTCAGTTCCTACCGTCACCTCCATGTTTCCCACTTCTATCTTTTTTTAATGTTTATTTATTTTTGAAAGAAAGAGAGGTGGGGGGGGGGTAGGGGCAGAGAAAGGGAGACAAAGAATCCAAGCGGCTCCATGCTGTCAGCACAAAGCTTGATGCTGAGCTCAAACTCACGAACCGAACCGAACCATGAGATCATGACCTGAATGGAAGTCGGGACGCTTAACCAACTGAGCCACCCAGGCGCCCCTCCACTTCTATTCTAAACTAGCTTCTAACTCTCTACTTTCAATTTCAAAATCTTAATACCCAGATACCAAAGAAGTCTTCCTTAAGTAGTCTGTTCCACACTGGTCTCCTATTTCACAGAATTCCCATAGCTACTGGGATACTACTTATATCCACAAACAAACCCTTCGACAATACAATATCCTGGTGCCTTTTTTATGTGAGTATAATATACGTTGCTAGTAAGTACACTATGATAAAGTGATGTACACAAAACAACGTAGGTACTCAAATACCTATTAGATTAAAAAAAAGAATTGATTTGATTTGGACCTTATTCTTACTAAGTTTCAAAACATGAAAAAAAAAAAAACAAGCAATATAATAGATGAAAAGTTAAAAAA